ATGACGAGCAAGGTTTTTGTCTTGAAAACTCAAACAGTAAAATCTTGCATGCACGCTCTTCCGTCGTTATAAAATTTCAGATCGTTTCAACGCATTGAGAAAAATATTCTGACTTGTAAATTCAAGACGGCTTACACCTGCAGTATGGGCATGGTGGAGCAGGAGCGCCCTCTTGAACTCGCGCAGCCATGCTTCTAACTCATTGACTAACACAGCTATTCTCAAGGCTACGCTACTTAAATGTACATTTGAACTAAGAGAGCTTGCTTTAAATCTGTCATCATATTAGCCATCGAGTTCCTCGAGTGGACGTCAGCAATGTCTCATTCGTTTCTGTTAGGAGCCAAATCAGTTCAGTGAATCGTCCTCGCAAGGTGACACGAGTCACAGTATTTCTTTCGTTTAGGGCTCCCATCATAAGTCTGATCATTGCGCTGGCGGCCGTTCCTTCCTTTAATCTCCCGATGAATCCAGTCAGTAACTGCATGCTATCGCTTGAAACGTTCAGCCCACATAATCTTTGATTCCTCTGTAAAAGGAACGCGAACCACATTTTGGTTCGTTGACGGGATTCAAAACTCACGATTCCCTTATTCACATGCTTCCTTTTATTCTCCAGCCCTTGTCCCACTGTGAGGTGTAGTCCGCTTTTTTGGTGTACATTTCCGATATGCTCCATATTGTTGTCATCTCCGACATCGTTGCAAATATTGTCAAGCGGGTAATCCCAGCGGTCCAGAGTGAAATTTTCGCTTCCATTACTCACAGGCCAGTATTCCACACCGTAGGCTGCGACTGATTCTACGGCGTTATTAAAGATCTTTGACTCAAGGTAAATTGTTACCTTTTCGTTGCAGAGGAAGGCAGTCGTCGAGCCTCATTTTGACCGAGTTGCATCCACAGGAGTATTTATTTCAAGGGTCAGGCTGCTGTTGAACGCGATTGCTGCCCCTAAATATTCGAAGAGAAGTCAGGGAAATTTTCACGGAAGCTCATATTGCCAATGGTGACGATGTCCAGCTCATTAGGCTCCGTGGTCATGTACTCGGTATTGTTGACATTCAGCGAAGTCTTAATATTTCCAGACGGCTAGGTCAAGCTTGCACCTGTTGCTCAAGTATCAGGTTGAGTCACAAGACCTCGGACAATGTGATATTGATGAATTCTAGAAACCATACCTCGGGAAAGAGGTGACGAAAATGGTCGCGCGAGGCATCGTTAGATAGAACATAAAAAGCTCTTCCGAGTGCATATTGACGAACGCACCTAACTAATTCCAAGCGTGCCCCATGATTTCAAGCCGCACCAACTCCACCTCCGGAACACCATCCTATTTCTTTTTATGTGGCCAAGAACCCGCGGCAGTCGATAGACGCGCGAAGGAAGTTTACAAGGAGGACGTCCTTGTTGGAAGCACAATTTTCAAGTGACACTCGAAGTTAGCGTCGAGCGACTATTCCATCAGAAATTGAAGACCGTCCGGGACGCCCAATGGAATTGCATTTGGACCTGCTGCGGAGCCAGCTGGAAGCCGATCCCTATCATATCAAACTAGCAGTAAACTGGCAGCCATCCTGGGGTGAGCCAGTCCACACTTGTTCGTGGATTGAAGTCAGTCGGCAAGGTGCGGAAGCTCGGTCGATGGGTGCCTCATGCTCTGAAACAGTATGACATAAACTGCAAGGCCAACATGGCACTTTCTCCCTTCACGCTCAAGCCACCCATTCGTGGCTCGAGTACCTAGTCACCGGGGATGAGAAAAGGATTCTCTAACGCCCACCGGCGTGCTCAATGGGTTGACAACGATGCGGATGCAGAAGACTCCCCTAAACTTGACGTACACGCCATGAAGGTTATGCTCTGCATGTGATGGAGCGTCCACGGTGCCGAATATGGGCCCCTGAGGACAACAATAGTAGTGGAAAGCGCATAACCTCGGTGTATCTCGACAATAATGGGGAATTTTGAAGATGTACCCGCTGTTGGATTTGAGTAGAGTAGGCGCACCCGATAAGGTATTCAAGGAGCCCATGCTGTCGCATGGAATACCATGCAACCGCACGCAGATGTGTTCGAAGGCATTTTCTGAGTCGACAAAAATGAGATGATGCACTGTTTCCATTTCTCACGATGTTTTTCTAGAAATAAACGAGCAACATTTATTGCATCGGTGATGCTACAACCGTTAACAATGCTACACTGATTGGTGGAAAGTAGAGGTAAGGCAGCCTGTCACCGTTGCATTGGATTCGAACATACTCAGCAGGAAACACGAAACAAGTGTAAAGCACATGCACATGAAAAACGTATTCAAAAGTAGATCGCGTAAAAACGTCAGACCACCAATAAAGTTTCCAGTGAACAACCTTGCCGGCACAAGAATCACACTGCAGTCATGAAAAAAAGTATCCAACAAGATTCGACAGATAAGGTGAAAATCAGAGGTAACAAGATCCGATCTATAGCCTACATACTTTGGTTGCATTAAATCCGAATCTTTTGAGAATCGTGCCAACACCCAATATCGAAGTATGAGAATACACGAGCGCTCCAAGCGTAAAGCACATGCACATGAAACAAAAGTACGAAAGATGATGTGAAAAATATTTGGGGGTAGATATCACCTTTTGAGAATCGTGCCAACACCGAATACTGGAGTATGAGAATGCTAATTCAATATCAGCAGAACGTTTGAAGGCATAGTTCACGATGAAGGTGGTTGTAAATGTTATCGAGCAAAAAGGATCATTTATCGAGTTACAGATCTTGCTGGGAAGCGGTCGTAATCTAAAAGCAGAAAATGGACAGAATTCTCTTCTGCTTATCGTAGTGCTTTTATTGGGGCCCTATCGCTGTACTTACCACTCACACAGCAAAGAATTAAGGAACAATTACACCTCAACTTGATGTTAGCAATGTTATACTATAGTCGAGACGCTTAGAACAAATTCAACATAACAAATGTTGTGAAGGAAGAAGAAATAGAAACCATGTCTCAAGTTTCGAAACACTTGCCACACGATAATCTGAATTTCAATGAAGTTAACGATAGAAATAAGTATTGGGCCAAGCAAATGGTTTTCAAAGAAAAACAATAAAACACTCATCACACTATCAGTCTGGCAAACATATGTACAGCAAATTACTTTAAAGTGGTAAGTATCGGGCTCCAACGACCATGATACTTCCACTCCATTGTAACTTAGTAGAATTCACTTGTAAAGGGGTTCAAAGGTCTCGAGAAGCAAAAAAAGGCGAAAAAATGGCCAAATCTGCGGTAGGAATAGACAGGATACAAGTCGGTCGATTCGGCGTCTAATTATAGCGGCGTTATGGATCGGGCGTCTATCAGCTGGATGAGCAGTGGGTAGGCTGACTAATATTATCCGGAGATTGAATCAGCTGGACGGGTTGCCCAATTCACAGGCCGAGTCGAATGGGCGGTGCCAAGAAGGTAATTATGAGCCTATTTGCCCCAATGGCAAGTTGGGTGCGAGGGGCCGCACCAAACGACCGCCTTCCGGCCTGAAGCAATTCGAGATTATTTGCACAGTGTCCAAAAAGCGCACTACCCCCTGGCAATGTTACGGCGAATCCAGAACCCATAATTTGAAACATAACTCACCAAGACTCCACCGCTCAAGCGGATATAGAATCCGCTGTCGCCACAGGCGACTGTCAGCAGCGGATGAGACTTACTGGCTGTCTTCCTTATACATGTGATAAGGAGGATTGCTTTGTAATGCTCCTGAGTCACAAGTCGCAGTGCGGTATATATGGCAAGAGATCGTTGGTTATGGACGGGCACTCATCTCCACCGTTCATTTTAGGATTTCTTTGGAAAACGTAGAACGCTCTAATGCCTTTCTCGCTGAAATCTCCGTCTTCTGCGCTAATATCGTGCACTTAACTTCAAAGTTGTTGCCGTTATGCTCCTCAATTTTATGCCTACCGAGCGCCGTTATCAGGCTGCCACGCCTCATATTAGCTAGTTGTTCTTTTATTCGTATAGTTAGTTATCTTCCCGTCTCTTCGATGCATGTTGACCCACATGTCCGGCATTCCATCTGGTAGATCACGCCTGTCCGTGCGCAATCACCTGTTTTTCCGTAGGGACACATGTTGCAATCTTTTGTTATGCACTGCTTATGGTAGAACCTATTTCGAACTAGAAGCTGCTTGATATTGTTATTAGGAATATTCACTAATTGTACAACACCTTGCAACCCAGCTCTGAAAATGCTGCGCTGTATAGCATTGCTAACTTCATCGGAGATGAAGGAAAGACATAGTGGTAACTTATTTTGAGGCGTAGCACGCTGCGTGTTAGTGCGAGAATTTCTACAACCTTGTGATACCGTATAACCCATCCTGCCACGGTCCGCAATCACAGAAGCCATGAAGCACTTGGTGGTGGTAATTTGGCACGCGTCACGGTTCTTGGAAACACTCATCACTCCTCTAATGTTTTTTCGTGGAACCTTGGTGAGTTATGTTTCGAATTAAGGGTTTTGAATTCGCCGTAACATTCGCCAGGGAGTAGTGCGCTTTTTGGATGCTGTGCAAGTAGTCTCGAATTGCTTCAGGCCTCTGAAGAAGACTACAACGTTGAAAAGTTAGGCCGTTGATTAATAAATTGTTCCACCTACCTCGCACCTCGCACGGCATAAAAATATCGTGATTATGTTTTTTCAATCTTATTTTTTGCTGCGGCTAGGAACCGGGATTGTAGGCAAGAGCCTAGCAATAGACGACGCCTTTTGTAAAGACATTACGAAGCAGTCATCCGATTTGAGAAGATTGAGATATCCACTTTTAGATTATTGTCACTGCTTTGCAAAATCTTTCTTTCATCCAAGGCTTCCCAGAGAACTATAAATTTGCTCCAAATTTATTTCGCACCCATCGAAGTGTGGAATAGAGCCTTGTATGCTAATTATCTCTTCCGGGTCGCGACATATTTTTTACTCTATCAATCAAATAAAGTGATGCAGCTCCCAATGGCAAGCTTAACAGCAGAAATCATTGATTTTGCTCCTCTTTTCGGTGCTTTATCGACAACTCATTCAGATTACAAGTTCTATCAGCATGTCAGACGGACAAGCTGCCGAGTTAGAGCGGACGACGAATATTCGTTTCCTACTTTGGGGCGAGAAGCTGAAAGCTCTCTATCATTGTGCGGAGAGCGATTCCACAGCTGCGTAGGTCTAACCTTCGATGTGATTTTAAGCACTGATATTTTTTGTTTGAGGTTCAGGACTTACTACAGCTGGAAACACCATTCATGAAGCCTCCCTCAATAATGTGGTGCCTTTTCATGCTTTTCAAATGGGATATTGTTACAGCAATGTTTACAAAGGCCCTTTCAGATCTCCTTCAGTTCTCCAACCCCCTGCTGCTGAGGTGCGTTCAAAAAATAAACGTTTCCTTTTGAAGCATATTCAATTAAGGACTCTGATTCGATTTACGGAAGATTCCCCGAAACCTTTGTGGGAAGGAATTTTTACTTCTCTTGCCATGTTCGGTACGAGCGAACTCTCGTCTTTAATGCAATCTCATTATTACTATCTTATGTATAGAGTTGGAACCAGGGTACAAACATGCCTTACTGGTGCAATATACAGAAAAGTCTGTTTCTAGAGGTATTCTCACACGATATCAAGATTTACACTTCGAAAGAGTATATTACAGACCCTCCGTTTATCCAGCTCTGCTCGTCGTAGTAAGACTGTAGGCGAAATCGTCAACCTCATGTCTATAGATGTAGACCGCTTCCAGCAAATTTCTCCTCAAACAATGCAGTATTGGAGTAATCCTTTACAAGTAGGCTACTTTCTTTCTTCACTTTATGTGTTTCGCTTCAAAAGGTTAGGGTTTAGTTTGCTTGGAACATGTGGTCAATATAATTGTAATTACATCTGACAGAAAGACCCTCCGCAATAAAACTCCCAACCGTCTCGTTGATTCTACTTCTTAAAAGTCACTCTGAAATGCTGAGACTCCAAGGAGGTGTTCATTCTCGACAGGGCGTCATACTATCGCTTATGAGAAATAAGCTCACAAGTGTAGTGAAATTGACGACCTCGCTTCCTACAAATTTTTAAAGGCTAATTAAGCAGTCTCCAATGGAGAGTAAAGAAATGGCCCTTTCTGCTGCTCATGCTGCTTCAGGAGGGTGTCATGTTTTTGGGTCTCTACTATTTAAAATTCTTAAATATGCTTATCTCTATACACCGCAGTGTTCAACGGCATTTTCATCCAGGAATGTCGGTTTGAAAACACTTGTGTAGTTCTTGTTTATGTTTGCCCATGTTCTGTTCTGTTTAGTTCTTTGCTGTCCCGGAATTTTCTGCTCTCCTAGTTCACCGGTGTGCCTTCCGACCGGCCGACCGACCGCCACGCTAGGCACATGCTGACAACACTGGACGTCGATGGATCACACGCCCTCATGACTCACGCGGCCTCGAACACAATCTGTCCAGTGTTTTCAACGAGTGGCTAGCGCCGCCGTCGGTCGGTCGGTTGGGACACATGGTCGGAAAGCACACCGGTGAACTCTGAAGGCAGCCACTGGGGTTTCGTGCAAAATATAGATCAATATATGAATGCTATAATGTTATATCACATCATTCGAAAGTAGATGTTAGTGACCAGTTGAGATAAGTCGGATATAGCGAGTGGTATGTCGCGAAAATGCCCGCACCGCTTGCCCCTTATGCTTCTGTGTTGCACATATAGGAATACAACGTTTATCTGTAGGTGCAGATAACATATAGTTCTGTTCGGTCGTATTGAGTAGTAGAGATAAGCGAAAGTGCAGATGAGGCTCTGGATTATAGAAGGCGAGGGTCCAGAGGTAGCAGGCAATAGGTGCTTCGGCAATGGACGACGAGCTTGATCGTCAAATGAAGACGCTGTTCGCCGCAGTCCTCGAGAATCTGGCGGCGAGCCTTGACACGCATGGTGAGGTGAGTCATGTATACAGTGAACCAACACCTCATGCGCAAAGTTAAGCAATGTTGCACAGTGGAGGAAAAAGCGGCTCTTTTTGATCTACACCCTCACTGCCGACTAGAAACATACTCGGCTGATAAGATCTCACTTCTCAGGCTCATCCGTCCCTCATGGTCAAATTTCTCACGCACTCTTGTCCTTCAGACTACGGTCGCTCTTCTTCCTTCAGGCTCTTATAGGCGGATGTATCTGGCATGTTCCATCGCCGATAGCGATCTGAAGTCACTGAGTCTCTGCGTGAGCCTCGGCTCCAGGTAGGACCAATCTAGGCAAGTGTGCGCGCTGCGGCATGACTTCGACACTCCCATGGCGATAACTCATAAAGCCAAGATACCCAAATTATATGTTTACTTGTTTCAGATAGGGCTTGCACTGTTTCTTCTATGGCATCAACTTGGTGTTTCTGTGTTAAGCGGAGTTGCAGCTATGATAATACTATTCCCTCTTAATTTCCTCATCACTATGCTTATCAGAAACTGTCAAGTCAGCTACATTAATCTCGTTCCCACCTAACTCAAACCCTTTCTACAGAATTACCTTTGCAGGTGCACCAAATGCACTACAAAGATGAGCGAACGAAGATAGTGAACGAGGTGCTAAACGGAATGAAGGTATGTAGATCTGATCAGCTTATGCGACACTTATCAAAGCTGTCCTTGCACCTTTTAATTATACCGACGCTATTGTACGTTCCTCCAGAGTGATCGACAAAACAATTTTTACGTGACAAAGCATCGGCCTCTATTCATCGTAAAACTAAGTCTATGATTGTCAATAATAATCATCTTCTTCTTCACTCGTGATTCTTCGAACTTGAGAGCTTGACGATTCAGAATCTGAACTCCAGCCAGAGCTCTACTGCAAAGTGACGATGATATGGAAAGACAAGGGGCGAGAGTGAATGTGAAGTATCTCAAAAGAAGAGGATAGAAAAGAGAATCAAAAGAAATAATTAAAAATGAAGAGCGGCATGGTAATAAGTCATAGTAGCAGCTGAAGCGTGATTTGGAAATACATCGCAGTTCGTTTTTGGCAAGTCATGGAGAAACTGGTATAGAACCATTCTCACTGACACAATCTATTACCAATAGGGCTCCGCTATAGGTTGTGGTATGTTATAAGCTTATACAAACAGTTCGGGACGCCAAGTTCACCACGGATATGTCTCTTCTTCTTCTTTTCCCTAGCGTTAGCCCGCGCCGTGGCAGGGTCCGCTGTTCTTGTCAGCCGTCTCCATTTCATTCTATCTACGGCATCTTCTGCCGTCACCTTGGCTTCGGCGAAGTCCTTCTTGATCACGTCCCGCCATCTCTTCTTTGGGGCTCTTCGTGGTCGTTTGCCTTGCGCCTCGAACTCCATTGCCTTCCTTATCGGGTGGCTCTGTGGTCTTCTTAGGACATGTCCGAACCATCGTAAGCGCTGCTCCCTCATCTTTAGTTGAACAGGAGCTGTTTGCATGACCGACTTGACGTCTTCATTCCTGATCCGATCCAGGGGCGTCCAGCCGCAGGCCCAGCTCAGCATTCTCATTTCAGCGGAGTGGAGCTGTCTTTCATGGGTTTCACTTACGGGCCTACACTCGCTGCTGTAGAACTTCGTAGGCCTTACCACTGCCCGATACACCCTTCCTTTGAGAGTCCTGGAGCACCTACGGTCGCAGAAGATACCAGTAGAGTCCCTCCACTCCATCCATGCAGCGTTTATTCGAGATTTTACTGCCTGATGCACGCTACCATCAGCGGCTAGATCACCCCCAGATATCGGAAGTCCTGGACCTTTTTGATGGCTTAGCCGTAACCGTCATGATTGACTCCATACCCTCCTCGGAGCTGAAGAACTTGGTCTTCTTCACGTTTAGCCGGAGTCCATTTTCCGCCAGCACATTCTGCCATTTCTGGAGATAGTCCTGAATTTTTTCCTTGCTCTCCGCTATCAGAGCGATGTCAAAAGCGTAGAAGATGGTCTTCAGTGGTCAATACACGAGTTCTTCTGTGATGACGTCCATCGTGAGCAGGAAGAGGAACGGGCTCAGAGCTGATCCCTGGTGTACCCCAACAGTGACATCTATTGCTCCCGTTTGGCCGTGCGCAGTGCGCTTTGTTGTAGTGGAGCCATCGCACATATCCTTGACCAAGGAGATGAGATGTTCTGGCACGTTTCGTTTTCGGAGCGCTCTCCATAGGACTTCTCGCGGAAGACGGTCGAATTCCTTCTCCAGGTTGAGGAAGGCTAGGTAGCAGGGTCTACGCTTTTCTCGACACTTCTCCATAACTTTCCTAGCTATGAAGATGGCATCCGTTGTAGACCTTCCAGGCATGAAGCCGAACTGCTCCTTTGAGATTGGGACCAATTATCTCAATCTTGAGTCGACCAATCGCTCGTACAGTTTCATCGTGTGAGCAGTCAACCTGATCCCTCGGTAGTTAGAACTTCCATCGCGTCCCCGCGTCTGCTTGAAGATGGAAACGATAGTACTGCTCCTCCACGCATCAGGGATTTTTCCTTCAGTGGCGATACTGTTGAGGAATCGGGTGAGCCACTTTATTCCGTGCTCTCCGAGCGCCTTCCATGCCTCGATCGGTACCTCATCCGGACCAGTTGCCTTTCCTACCTTCATCTTTCCTATTGCTATGCGCACTTCATCCTTTGTCCAGAGTTTGATGGGGCCAGCCGTTGCCTCCAAGTGGGAGCTGTTTTCACGGGCGGATTCTTCGTTGAGGAACTTGTTGAAGTACTCCTTCCACCTACGCCTGACCTCCCGGGCTTCCTCAGGATTGCACCCTCGCTGTTCCTGACGGCCTTCACTACCCCGAGGTCCGGAGTGGCACGGTGACACGCTTTCGCCAGGCGGAAGACGACCTTCTGCCCTTCTCGACTGCCAAGTTTCTCATGCAAGGCGTCCATTTCCATGTTCTTTGCCTTCGCCACAGCAGATTTGGCGAGCCTTTTGGAGGTTCTGTAGGCAGCTAGGTCCTCTTTTGCCAGCATTTGTAGGCCGATTTCTTCTCTCTCACAACCTGCTGGACTTCTTCGTTCCAGAACCATGCTTCCTTGTCCCCTCAAAAACCTCCTCGAGTTTCCCTCAGCGTTTTTTCTGCACATGCTAGGATGATCTTGAGAGTGTTGCTCCAGGTCGGCTGGATCGGTCCCTCAGGGTCTGGAACTCCAACTTCCAGTATCTTTTCTTTGAGATGTTCTCTTTCTAGTCGGTGCAGCTTCCACCACCGGATCCTCTGTTCCGTTCTTGTCCTTGGTTTCTTGGGAAGATCGATGGCTATGTCTGCTAGGAGAGGCCTGTGCTGTGTAGCCAGTTCTTCTCCAGGAGTACCTTGATGTCCTTTACAGTTTTGAGGGACGACCTTCTTACTAGCACATGATCTCTTTCCGTTTCTTTCCCTCCACTGCTGTAGGTTACCTTCTGAGAACTCCTTTTCGCGAAGAGGGTGCTGCAGACTGCCAAGTCATGGGCCATGGACAGGTCGAGAACTCTTTCTCCTTCTTCGTTGCTGACTTCTATTCCTCTACCTCCATGTACCCTTTCCAGTCCCCTCCTTTCACGGCCGACGTGCCCATTCATATCACCTGCTATGGTGAGATACTCTCCCTCCGGAACTGATCGGATGGTCTCGTCAAGGCTTAGAAAGAACTCATCCTTTTCGTAGACGGGGCAGCCGGCTTGTGGTGCATACACTGATATTATTGTTCAGTGCCCCTCCTTCGTGTCTATCCTTACAGCCATGATTCTACTACTGGTCCTGCTGACGGCGAAGACGGAAGGACTCCGCTACTGCTATGGCGACACCATTTCGTTTGGTGTCATCCCCATTGTAGTAGAGTTTGACACCCTCTCCGATTTCTCTGGCCTTTGCACCCTTCCAGCGGGTCTCCTGAAGGTATAGGACTTGGATGTTCCTGCGCTTCATTGAATCGGCGACCTCTCGGGACTTCCCAGTGAGCGAACCCAAGTTCAAAGTCCCAATTCGAACTAACTTTTCGACCGAGGTCGTTCACTCCTCGGTAGCCCTCGCATACTGTCCACAGAACTCGGGCGGGTTCCTGTGCGCCACTTCCGGGTGACGTCCTAGCTTTATCACTGGTACCTTTTGAGACTTTAGACATGTTTGTTGTAACTGGGTTTCTCCATCAGCCGGCCTGTCAACCTGGGCCTGACGCTGGCGCTGATACCATTTTTACAATTTCTGCAAGGCATGGAGTTGCCTCGGCAGGGATCGAACTCGCACTCGTTCTAAGTGTAGACGTGAGCCTACACTCTTATCCATTCGGCCTCACCGTGGATATGTTCATAAAACATTTCCCCCAGTGTATACGAGGGTTGCCTTTTATATTTTGAGATTTGGCAACACCAGTGTAGCAATCTAACAACTGACACCACTATCGTAAAGTTTGACTATTTTGAAGTTACGTTGCAAAATTTGAGCGCGATTTGTGTTGTTTACAATAAGTTATAAGATTTTGTATAGGCCAAGTCATGGGGTTGGATCGTGAGCATTTTCGCGCGATTATTTTCTACAACTTTCGACGTGGACTAACTCAACAGCAATGCATGGATGCATTCAATTCAATATTTGGTGATGAAGCTCCCTCCAGGGCCAGTGTTTATCGATGGTACAGTGAGTTCACCCGAGGTCGTAGTTCACTCGAAGAAGAATTTCGTGGAGGTCGTCCAAAATCAGTTGTTGTTCCGGAAACCGTTGATACTGTGCACAAACTAATATTGCAAGACCGTCATGTGACCTATCGTGAGATCGGGACAACCTTAAGCATTAGTGGGACCAGCATACATCCAAGATTGCGTGGACATTTGACTGTAAAAAAATTATTTTTTAAAAATTTGTTAATCCCCCAAAATAAGGACTTGTGTCGATTTGCCGAAAGAAATGCTCAAAAAATACGGTCACAGTGCTTCAAAACACGTCTCTGACATCGAGACAGGTAGTGGATCATGGCTTCTTCATTCGTATGAGCCGGAAAGGAAACAGCAGTCGACCGTGTGGGTATTTCAAGATGAGTCAAATCCAACAAAGGCTTTCCGCGCACCAGGCACTTCCGAGCAATTGATCTCCTGTTTCTTTGGGAAAACTGGACATGTCGCAACCGTACCACTAGGACAAACAGAACAGTCAATTCTGAGTGGAATACCACCATTTGTTTGCCAGTTGACTTCCCAAAAATCAGAAAACCAACTGCTGAAAACGGATCTCTCTTCACCACGACAATGCGAGCTCCCACACATTGGCTCAAACAACTGCATTTTTGAGCACTCAAAACAACGATTTGACAGGTCATCAGCCATGTAGTCCCCGGGTGACTGCTTTTCATTCCGTACGTAAAAAATAAAATGAGAGGTCAACGTTTTTCGACACTTGAAGTAGCCGGTTTAGAGGCATGAACACATGTTTTGGAGTTACCTACATCAGAGTGGCAAAACTGCTTCGAAAATTGATTCGAGCCCATTCAAAAGTGTATAGATCTTAATGTGGAGAATTTTGAGAGGCTGTAAAGCGATTTTCAAGAAATGGTATTTGTTTCTGTTTTCAAATCTCAAAATATAAAAGGCAACCTACGTAGAAGCGGGATCGTAAAGCTCTCCTCATTGCGACGCCTATTCCGCCCTTTTATCGCGAAATTTCCTTAAGCTCATATGTGCTTTGTTGATCTCACCCGAAATCCCAGCCATCTCAGAACTGACCCGACTTCTTCGGGTGATATCGAGTTTCGCGGCAGATATACAGATGAAGGCAAATTTGACTTGAGCAATTTGATGATTCTATGACGTCAAACCACTCCTTTTCGTATCTAGATATGAGTATTTGGAGAGGGCTATATAAAGCGTACGCTCCCTCCTAGTGGGTGGAGCTTCTTTGTTTACGCATGTCCAGTACGCATGAGGCCTTGCTCAATCCTTCTATTTTTTCTGGCTTCCATGCTTTCAATGAATCGAGATATGGCACTTGTTAACCTATCCCTTACCTTTGCTTATAATATGGGCTTACTCGAAATTGTAGAGAAATGTGGTCCTATCCTGACTTAATTCTCCTTGTTACACTTTATTTTATTGCTATTATAGATGAAGTGGGATACCTCACGCAGCAGAAAGTGAACGACAAAGCTGGCTTAAAGGAACTATAATCAAAATCTGATCATTCTTTAATGCCCAACTCACTGCAATGCTGCATAATGCACACCTTTGGTCCTCAGCGTCAATCATTCGTCAGAATTTAATTTGCAAATACAGGGTGAGCCATAAATATGGTAACAACTTTGTAGGGGTCCGAAGCTCCCTTGTCTAAAGGGTTTTTCCAGATTTGCACCTTCCCTTATTTTGATCATACCCCATTGTTCACTTATCTCCTTTGGAGCTCTGATTTCGTCAGTTTTCAAAAATATCCAGCAGCCGTTCTGTCTTTGCACGCATTTGGTGAGTCCTTTTACAAAATCGCTCGTCGTTTCGACATTTCTCTCATGACAATCTCCTATGTCGCGACTCGTAGACAGGTCAACGACCAGCTTTGAGACGGTCGTCTTGTCTCTGTTACGATCTATCCGGCTACGCTAGGGAACCTGCCGAAACACGGGAAAAATGACCGTCAAATTGATGTTTTCTACTCAAATGAGAATGGCTTTCCCTGAGCGAATACAATTGTATCCAATCATGTCTAACTTATTATCCAAAATTCACTCCCATGTCTGCCCATTCCGTATGACGCATGATGTTCTCAATAGCGGCACTGAAAAGTTTTGGAGAGATGGTGTCGTCCTGTCGGACCCAACCCTTCACGTTGAAGATGACTTTTTTATAGAATGGTGAGACCCTGACCGTGAAGTTGTTGTAGAGCTCACGAAGCATCCTTATACAGGGTGTGCCATAAATATGGTAACAAATTAATTTGGCTTTAAAAACAACAGTTCATATTGATACGTACTGAATTTATGTGAACTATTTATTATGCATCGCATCTACGAAACAAACACATGGTCATCTCATACGCATAACCGTCTCCTGTACTAATTACAGCTCGAAGACGCTTCTGCTACTTATCGACGGTGGCACGCAGAGATTATTGAGAATCTCTAGCTCTGACGTTTTTCAATGATTACTTATTAGCAGCAGCAGTGGTGTGTTCAGAAGCGCGGACTTTCCTCTCCCGTATGAACCATATGCAGCGGCCAATCACATTGTGGTCCGGAAAGTTCGGAGAATAATTGGAAGGTAGGATATGGTCGCGAGCATTTCTTCAGCAACATTTTCACTCTCTTCCCATTCGTGAGCAAGTGCGCCATAGTTTTCGAGTCGGATCCCTAAAAAAAACTCTGACCCTCAGCTGCTTACTTTCAGAGAACCCCTTCTTAATGAGGTTCGGAAAAAATTTGTACTATTCTAGACCAAAACTTGCGATATCGATATGATGGTAGAGATTCTAGCCCAAACTATCATGGAAAAGGAAAAATGGCTTTGAGACTCGATCTGCTCTTATCAACGGCTTGAGCATTCGTAGTGTGGGATATACGTGTACTTTGGGATCTCAACATTTCTTCCACGCTGGACACTCTTTAGTCAGAAAAAAGTGTGTCGAAGCGCGTGCCGCACGCAAGTAGCGCACGGCATTTGTACTTTTCTCTTCAACTTCTTCTCGTCAAAAAACTTATAAGGCTTCCGAATCTTATTTGGATACAACTGTATTCACTCTGTGTAGACTCTTCCGATCGTATTAGAAAATACAAACAAATCAGCAGTCTTTTTCTTGTGTCTCTGCAGGTTTCGTAGCGTACTCCTTCCCTAGCAATTGTATTCGGAAAAGGGGCCGTATGTGAGAAAAGACGACTATATTGAGGTTCAATATTGACCTATCTATGCAAAGCGATTCGAGAGACTGTCATGCGGGAAATGTTTGAACGAGGAACGAACTCGAGAAAGGACTCACCAAATGCGCGCAAGCGGGAACGGTCGGTGGATGTTTGCGAAGCTCAGTTCCAGTTCAGCTTCAGTTGTTTGCGAAGCTCAGCTACAGTTTCTCGAAATCTGAGGAATCGAGAGTTCCGAAGTACTCGATTTGTGGGCTAGGGTATATCATGCATAAGGGGAGGTGCAGATTTGGAGAAACCCTCGAAACAAGGAAATCACGGGCGTCCGAAAAGTGTTACCATATTTATGGCGCACCCTGCATATTGAGTAAGGGAACCGTGGTTACCTGGGCTCCGATTACTGCGTCTGTCTCCATGGTATCGAAGGCCTTCTTCAAATCGATGAACGTAAGACATAACGTCATTTTGTACTCTCGCAATACTTCATTGAGCCTTGTAAGAGTGTAGATATGATCAATTGTACTGAACCCTCTCCGAAACCCTGCTTGATCGTATGCCTGGCCCCCATCTAATATTTTGCCAATTCTATTCAGGGCTTATAGATTACGGACAGCAGGCAAATTGTACGGTAGTTGCCAATATCTCCCTTACTGTACAGCAACATATTCTTGCTAGTTTTCCACGACATGGACTTTGATTCCGACAGGTACCGAGTGAAGAGCCTCGCCAGAGTTCTGACGGTGACGGTTGGAAGAACATGTCGAATCCCAGAAGGGAGAACTGAAGAGACGACGTATCCTTCTGGGCCTAAGATGGTAGGTAGGCAGGTAGGCGTGGCTGTCGAAGAGATCAGAGTGTGGAAGTCGTAGACTACGTTCCCATTTCCCTTCGCGATGCAGTAATTGTTCTATCAGGACGACGGAGGGACGTCGTCCTGGTCCTATAAAAGACGAAGCTACGGTGGGCTTTGGGAGTGCTCTTTCCAGCCTCGGGGCCTCATCCAGAACTGCTGCTCTTCTTTCTTTCAGATCTTCCTTTATCACTTCTCTTCATAGTTTCGCAAGTTCAAACGTTTGTTGATGTTTGTTTGCAGCTCGCGCGGTCCTACGCTGACGTATCGGCTCGAGGGTCCTTGAAGAGAGCCGTCTGTTGGCTACTCTCTCTTCCTCTGACCTCCTGCTTTACTAGCACTGTCGTGAAGGTGTTCAACGAACCGGTTGTATTCTTCGTCGATGTGTCGATAACGCAATCTTCCAATTCGCTAGCGAAGGAAGCGAAGGTGTCCTAGTTGACGGAGGTCTTGGGACTTCGTTTCTTAAACTTCACAGCTCTCTCCGCGCACGGGGAAACAGAATCTAGCGCGGAGGAGACGATAGTCCAATCCCGTGTAGAACTTCGGAACAGCCGCGTCATGAATCAAGCAAAACCTCCGATTGAAGATGATGTGGTCTATTTTACCATGGAACTCCCATGCCCATCGCGAATGCGAAGGCTTCTGGAACTGCGAGTTGCCATGGATGGTGTCGGTCGACACGGCCAATTAGGCGTTGAAATCACCGACGATGACTATGGAGAAAGTGTGGTGTTTTTTATTGAGCCTCTCCAGATGCATATGGAACGCTTCCAACTCATCTTCTTCGTAGCTTGCTAGGCTCTGATGTCGAGGGGGAATTGTTTTTGGAGGCTGCCCCAAATTGCCTCCCAAACCCTTCCCAATCACAACCTGCAACCTTTTGGCTGAGTCTATGGGCAGGATACCAACTCCACACGCAGTTTATCCAAACACGTATGCGTAGATACACCTGCGAGAAGCAGAGGTAATATCGGTCGGCGCAGCAGAAACATTGAGTCTATCCCCTGAATTCACCTGCGTGTCTGAGTAGTACTGGCGACATTTGGTCGGCAATTTTTCCCCCATGCGCCACCTAGGAACGCTCTACACAGCCTCGTCGCTAATCGGCTGGTATCTTCTCGTGAGGGAGAATCCTCAGTGAAGAAGATCCGTGATTCGCCGCCTGTACTCCTGCTCGGATTTGAACACTCTAGCCTTAGGAGAACAGGAGTTATGAGTTTCTGGTCAAACACACACATACACACATACATACAAACCAGCAGACACATTTAGCGCGCCATATATATATATAATAAATAGTAGGATAGGATAAGTGTAACCATCTCGCCATTTGGACTCCTATTAAATTTGAACACAGCACGTGCACAGGAAGAGGAGTTATCAATTTTCGATCGAACACGCACACCCACAGAAACTAACAGACGCACTTAGAGCGTTATTGCTAGGACAGGGTAAGTGTTACCATCCTGACGTCTGTGCTCCTACCAAACTTGGCTGCTTTAGGTCCTCGGGAGCGCAAGTTATGAATTTTCAGTCAAACACACACATACACCACACACACACACCATTGATCTTTACTTACTGTGGTTGCAAAAATGTATAAGCGAGAACAGTGATAATATGAATGTTTGTTAATGTACTGGGTGCACAGTATTTCTTTTTTCACTTCTCAATAAAATGTCGTTCTTTTCATATTCATTCATATTTTTTTACCAAGAAAGGAACTACATTTCATTAATGCTTGAATGATGAATTGAGACGATTCCGCACGTGCTTGTAAAAAATGTCAATTTCCTTCACAATAGGCAAAAATCAAGCATTGAGCTTCAGGTTTTCCATGTTTTGAGAGTTCGATTACAGAAATAGAGATTGTTCTAATATTTCAGCTTATATATAATTTTTACATTTGTTCACATGTAGATCAATAGATCAGGAATAAGCGTAATCTCAGCTACGCGTGTCATCTGTTGTACTGCTGTCAAGGAGGTGAAGGGTGATTGTTCCAGACAAGGCTTGATGTATGTATGTAGTGATGTATGTAGTCGGTTCAACAGGGGATTGCAAAACTACTGTGGTGTGCTGTTTTATTGAAATGGTACAATACCACTGCCCTCACTGAAACCATCATTGCTCGGGAGAAGAAGTTCCCTGATAACCGATCAGACGTTCCGCCGTCAGCGGTCGAAATTCTCAGGTCACAATAATATATGAGGAAACCCGCTTGAAGGGAATTTCGTTCGATATTTTTCATTTGAACAGAAGCAAACCTCTTCAGCAATGAAAATTCAACCACCCTCCTTTTAGCTGCTCCTCATTATGAGTTTTTGATCTTAGCCCCGCCCAACCCTGTGCAAACACCGACCAAGTCAGGGATTTGATTCCATCCTCTCGATATCCTCTAACCACTTTTTCCCCGCATTAACGTTTCTGACCAGAGTTACGAACTTTGGTCTCAGCCTCGCCCACCTCAGTGCGAGCCCCGCCCACTTCAAGGATTTGATCTTATTCTCTCCATTACCTTCAAGCACTCTTTCCCCGCGTTGTGGAATATTTTTTTTGAACAAAGTTGTGAATTTTTGATCCTGAACCCGCCCACCTGAGAACAAACCCCGCCCACTTCGAAGGCTTCAACACACTTCTTTTACTTGATCTAACCCTTGTTTCCCCCCACTATAGAACAATCTTGAACAGAGATACGAATTTCTGGTTCTGGCACCGCACATCTTAGCGAAAACTACGCCCACTCTAAGAATTTGACCACTTTCCTGCTACCTCCAACTACTTTTTTCGCACTCTAGAACATTTTGAACAGGGTCATGAATTTTTATCTAGCTCCGCCCGCCTTAGCGCGAACCCCGCTCAGTTCTAAGCGCGAAACCCGCTCTCTTCAGGAATTTGGCCACATTTCTTTTATAGCCTCTGACTACTTACTATCTACGCTACAGAACGTTTTAAACATAGCTATGAATTTTTTCAAAAATGGTCTAATGTTCGAATACGCGCCCTGCTCACTGTTTGCGGAGCTTCGACATGTTTACGTATGCTAAGGCCGCATAAACCCTTGCTCACTTTTTTTGTGGCCCTCCAAGCTTCCGTTGAATCGAGTTGTGGTCTTATGTGGCAAGCACCGCCCAACGCGGGGATGCTCCGCCTTCGCCAGTCGGACTTCTTCACTTCACTTGCTCACCCATCCCTCACACTTGTCCATTTTTTTCCAGCGTCTAGGCCGTTGTGGAGCCAGGCAAGGAAGTTTAGCCTGTGACCCCGCCCACTGCTGTGCACGCTCTTCCCCCCGTGGGCGGAGCTCCGCTGAGCTCACATGTGCTATATTGGTCCTGTCCTATGCCCAACCTATCCCAAATTTAGCCCGACATCTGCAGGGACTTTATCAGGTCATATCGAGTTTCTGTGCAAAGTGACGGACAGACGCAAGCGCTTCACAGGGTGTCCCGAAATTATGTGCGACAATTCATGGCAATGTGTTTACAGCTTCTCGGCTGAGAATAACAATGGAATCTGAATGCAGGTTTGCTAACTTTATGTGCTACGACATGCTACAATCACATTTCAAATGAACCCCGCATGAGCGTGAATAGAAGCCCAAAGTTTGCTCTTGAACTCCCCGCATGTTGCACGCAGGTATTCTCCTCATCTCTTCCCAGCCGTTTTTGAGTCTTGCCTTTTAGGACTCTAAACTGGGACTGCAAACCCTACAGGCCCTCTTCTGGTCAGGGATCATACGGAGGAGTCAAGTGAGTTAAAAACTGGACAGCAGGTTACCATCCTTCTTTGCTAATGAAGTTGGGCAGCTAGCGTCAGCACCAGTGCCTGACGAGCTCATCTTTGTGGGCTGGAGTTCAATCCTGCTGGGAGGACTGCGAGCTGCTTAAGGTAGCGGAATAGTGCTTCATTACGCCCGTCAATATGACCGTGAGCGAAGGTCCTCGTCCATTTTCACGCCGGCACGGAACCACGAACGTCCTACCTCTGCCAGTGACTCATTCAATAAATATCTTTTTGCTGTTCTTATAACACTTATTTTTGTGAGGAATTGCACGTTCGATGTTTATAGCCAGATGTGTTTTATTAGTAGAGGAATGGTTTTTCCAAAAAAAAACTTTTAGCTAGAGAAAACGATGCAGGGATGCGTGTCTCAATAACCCTCTGAATTTTGTTACCCTACACTGTCTGCTGAGACTGGAAATGAAGTGGGAATTCGGCATTCGATGGGAATGGCATTGAAGCTACTGCTCGACATTCTGCCGTCTTGACAACTCCGATAAACTGTGCCCGTTGTCTTCCTTCGATGGATCACCCAGGATCATGTTTGACTCGTAATTGGACCATTTTAGTAGGGCTATCTTGGCACAATGAAACATTGGCCCTTCTCCTTCTTCCTGGTTTGTCTTCGACTGAATATTTTTTCCATATCATTTAATAGCCTCTTATGCGGATGTGATAAAAATCACAAGGGAATTCTGTATTGCCCTTTCACCTCTCGCATACCAATGATCTTAAGTGGCCTTGAGCCTCCTCCATCCAAGAGATATCGGTAGTCTCACTTCAGTGGCCATGAAACTCTTAAGAAATCCCTCTTATGCGCCTAATCAATAGCTAATCAAGTAAATTTAACAAATTACTTCAACCTTTGGAGTTTCTGAACACCCATAATTTTAGGACACCCTGTATATATGACAAAATACTCTTTTTCCACGACAATCACAATCACGACAAAAAGACAATCATTTTAGACTAGATTGATTGTGTGATGTTAGCAGTCACGCTAACAAAGTATTTAACTTTTTTCGAACGTAAACTCAATCCTCAGTAATTTAAGCATACATATATGAACTTTCAGGTCATAAAACTGTATGCATGGGAAGCTCCTATGGAGCACGTAATCGTCGATCTACGTGAAAAGGAACTCGCTCTCATCCGCAAAGCTGCTCTTCTTCGTACACTCTCTGATGTGTTTAATTCCGGCTCGCCGTTTCTTGTATGTTTGCTAGACAGTGCTGTATTGGGGTGTTCGCTCAATTTTGGTTCAGGTGGCCCTGTCTACCTTTACAACATTTATAATGCTGGAGGACCCAAATACTCTAACACCAGATATAGCGTTCGTCTCATTGAGCTTATTCAACCAGCTCCGTTTTCCGATGTCTCAAGTTGCAGAGCTCATCATCCAAACTGTTCAAGTAAAAATTTTACGTGTATTATTTGCTGGAACACTTTCACGATAGATTAATTGGAATTGGAACTGGCTAGTTTCTCTCGTCCCTTGGAGATTTCCATTTTACTCCCTCACGACATCATCTAAGTAACTATCAAAGAAAAACTCTGCGTCTAGCATGCAATTGTCACTCAAGGGCATGCGTTGTCAAAATTCTATTTTGGGCTACTTGCTATTAGAGCTCTACTGTCTCAAGCTTCCTTTTCAGCTCTTCACCCCCTCCCCCCCCTCTTTTTACAGTGAGCCGACCAAGTGTTACCTAAATATAGGATGACAGAGATGACACATGACATGTCATTTGTTCATCCCAGAATCCCAAGATTTTCATTCGCTTAAACTGTAGCGATTTGATGCTCACATCGTTCCCACCGTTTACTGCACTCTTTAGGTGTTTGGAGAGAGTAGGCCTTTTATAAATCATGCAAAACGTTACTGCATGCATGATTGGAAAGGAGAATACTCCATGTAAATTTGTTCACAACCTTAGCGAGGATTTTGAGTTCAATGGGTTAGCCGAGTTGGTGATTATTGTCCTTATATAATATTAGTTTTCAATTTTGTCACGCCTTCTACTCCTACAAACTAAAAAATGGCATTAAATTATCAAGCAAAATGGCTGCTACTTGAAATTGCCGATTTCAAACATGCCCATAATGCTGTGTAATACTTAAGAGTTTTCCGCAAAATCCCTCCGCAGTTCTCTAATTTCGGGTAATCCAGATTATCATGAAAATTGGAAGACAAGATTGAAAATAGTGCGATGAAGGTGATGAAACTGCATGCATCGGTGTTTCCAAAGTGAAAAAAGGCCTCCAAAAACCGTTAAAAAGGGGGCTGGACGAGAATGAAACCAGGAAAATGAAGAAGAGTGGGGCGTCCGGACGAGCTAATTAGTGTGTTTCACCGCGCGCGTGTGGGTCCTGGTGCGAATAACAGACAATGGTAAGCAAAAATTCATTCACTTATAAGCATAAGTAAACAAAAAAACCCCTAGTAACAGCAAAAGTAGCTCACCTTTCTCAGCCTCTAGGAGTAGGAAATTAAATAAGGGATCGCGGCAGCAAAAAGAAAAACAGGGGAAAAAAGAATGGGAGAAAAACACCGCCTCATCACTCGGCGATTAGCTGATTGTGCGTGGGTCCTAGAACGAATGATAGCAATCTGTATTGTCTCGACACTCGTCTAACGTGACAAGCGAACTACGGCTGCAACGGGGATTCCCCTATGCCCTAAGCGCCGAGATTGTGCGAGCGAGACGGTCCCTTCTACCACCCATGGGAGGCGCTGAGTATTCCTAAAAGAAGAACTCAGTAACCTTTTTTATCGTGAACCGTGCCTTTAGAACTACATTGGTGACTGAATGTGGAAGTTACTTCACCGTTCACACGCAACGTCTCTTCTTTGATTGTGATGAGCCATTTCTATTCCTACATATAAGCTAATATACCTCCTTGCAATCTCTAGTTCGAATATTAATATATATATATTTATATATTTCGCAATATACTGTACTAGCCCTTTTGAACCAATCCTCGAAAACCGACCGCAATGCCTGTTCATCAAAGAATCTGCTTGCTACCAGATATGTTGTGGGGATAATTCCTCCCCTGACGTAGAGCTTCAATCACTCTCACTGATAAAACAAAAGTAAATGTGAATCCAAAGCAATGTGCTCGGCGCGGAAAAGATATTAACCGGGCAATTGGAATTTTGGTCAGAAGTGATCTTGACCATTAGAACCCTCCATGCTTTCTAGAGGCGAATTTTTTTTGAACGAGATCTTAACTATTGAGAACCTTCCAAAATCCTGCTATATCCGAGCTCCATCAAGGCTTGTTGTCGTCGTGTATGCTTTCCAAAGCTCTTGAATCTTTCCTTTATTGGTAAACTTTCGGCGTATAATGCCTAATTATTAGGTTGAGTCATAAGTCTTCGGACAAATGAACAATGTTTATATTCGTTTTACAATTTTCAAACAACAATTGCGAATCGTTTGAAATATGCCCCATTGACATCGATGGTCTTCTGCCAGCGCTTGGGCCGACCATAGATGCCCTTGCTCCAGAAAGCTAGGGGCTGGCCCTTGAAGAACTGCTCGAGTGCCATTTTGATGTCGTCGCGGGTTTGAAAGTCTCGACCATCCAGATGAAGTTGGAGATGGGAAAAAGGTGGTAATCCGGGGAAGCCAAGTCTGGGGAACATGGTGGGTTGGGTGAAATTGTCCAGCCGAAATTCATTAGCTCAGATTTGGTCGTTCTTGCAGCGTCCGGCCTAGCGTTGTCACGTAGAAGTAAACTTTGTGCTGCTGTGGACGTGTTGCTTCGAGCTTCCCCTTCAAATCCCTTGGTTGCTTAATCTAGACGTCTGTGATCACTGTACATACATCCTTCGTCTAACAGCTCCCAGAATTCGGTACCGTGAACGCTCCACCAGATGCAGAGCATAACCTTCTTGGCGTGTACGTCATGTTTTGGGATGTCTTCTGCATCAGCATCTTTGTCAACCCATTGAGCACGCCGGTGGGCGTTAGAGTAAAGAATCCTTTTCTCATTCCCGGTAACTAGGTGCTCGAGCCACGAATGAGTGCGCTTGAGCGTGAGGAGAGAAAGTGCCATGTCGGCCTTGCAGTTTGTGTCATACTGCTTCAGAGCATGAGGCACCCATTGACCGAGCTTCCGTACCTTGCCAATTGACTTCAATCCACGAGTAACTGTGGACTGACTCACTTGAGAGTGACTGCCAGTTCACGAGTAGTTTGACCGGATCAGCTTCCACCTGGTTCTGCAGCACGTCCAAATCCAACTCCATCGGGCGCCCTGGACGGTGTTCATCTTCGATTGAATAGTCGCCCGACGCGAACTTCGAGTGCCTCTTGTAAACTGTGCTTCTAGTGGGGCGACCTCCTTCTAAACTTCCTTCGTACGTCTATCGATTGCTGCGGGCTCTTAGCCAGATAATAAAAGAAATAGGATGGTGTTGCGAAGGTAGAGGACGGCTGAAATGGGGCATGAATGCAAGAAATCAAACAAGTGTGTTCATTGGTTTGTGCTTGGGAGAGCTTTTTGTATTCTATTTGAAGATTCCTCGCGCATACGCGTTGTTCTTTCTTATGTCCAAGTGTACGGTGAATGGACAAACTGCTGTGTGGATGGGCAGTGGGATTGGTCAGCGCTTTCCTATGTTCATCCAGGCGGATCTTTAGTGGTTTCGCGGTCTCCTCCACATATTTTTTCCACATCCCCCACTTTGAATCAAATAGTCAGTACTCTGATGTTCAATAAACTTTGAATCAAATGGTCAGTGCCCTGATGTTCACAGATCTCAGATGTGCAGTGTTGACAAGACTGTTCGCGGCACCGTTTTTCGTAGATTCAGGACGAGGTTAGGAGATCTCTCAGCGTAGGGGGAGGTTAGAAAACAAGTCGAATGGAAAGCTGAGAGTTCTTCACGACGCGGGTCACCTCACCTGCTGGCTAGTCGTTGACAAAAGGCACATTGAGGATTATACCATCAACTGTTCTGTGCGGGACTCAGGTCCTTGTATTATCATCGAAGTATCCATCACCGATAATATATATTCTATGATTCCACATGAAGTTTGCTTCCATATAAGCAGGATGTGCGCTTCTGGAATGCAACGAGATGTTCGACGAAGCACTTGTTTGATACCACGCTGTGCTCCTACGTAACGTAAAAGTGGCGAAAGCAAACGGACCAAGAGCTAGCATAATCTTTCTGCTTGAACACCACAAGACGCGATAATCGGTCTCGCCTTCATTTCAGTCAATGGGAAAGACAGTGTGTTCGTTTTCTGCCGGCCGGAATTTTGTGCGTCTTCACTAGGTTGTAGAGGTCGGCCCTCTTGACTTAGTATGGTCTTATGTGTTTTGTAACTGATAGTAACTGTTTGTATGTGGCAATATATTGTAATAATTAAGGTCTGACGAAGGCATTACATACTGAAAGCTTGCCAATAAAAGTGAAAGGTCAAAAGCTTAGAGAATTACACACAACGACATGAAGTCTTGATGAAGCTCAGAGATAGCAGTATTTTGAACTATTTAAAATCCTTGCAGAGCCGTTTTAGTAGCTTTCGGGAGCTCTTCGCTACCTTATTACAGTATGTTGCCGTGAACCAGCACGCTGTATCTCGTAAAGCATCTCTCCAGTTCCTATACACGTGCAAGCGCGAGCGCATTTTCTCCAGTTTTATCGCTAACCGACTTCTGCATTCCCCATATCAGAACAACCGCGATCTCCATTCAGGAATACTCAGTATGAGGAGAGCTCTTTTTGACGCAGATATATCTGAAAGTCGTCGTCAAAAATCATTCTGCATCCGTGGAATAGTGTTTTCTCGGAACCGATTACGTTCAAAAATTTGAGTGGTAGCGTGGCAGAAACTACTTTGAAAAACCAGAGGATATGCTTCTATTAAAGAAAATATCAAAAATGCCACTCCGAAAGAAAACCAAATCTGCTGAGATGGCGTCGACAGTCACCTGAGCAATCACATCTCATCACAGCAATTGCTGTTCCACCAACATGTCACGTGGTTATTGGGACAAACGATTTTGGTAATGATATGGTTGCAGTACTCAATCTAGGACCATCATTTGCGATAATACCGAGGGTTTACAACCGAATAGTTGACGCTCAGTTTGCGTATCAGTTCCGCTGGAGAACACATAGTGGGCCGACCGTACTTGACCAGCAAGCGACTTCAATGTCAGTGATGTCATCCAAAGGAGAGTCTTGTGTAAGAACACCACCGTCTTTACGCAAAATCGACTCTAAAATTGCGAATTTCAAGCACGAATTTCATCGGGCTCATCGGATTGCGATGAACGAGCCTTATCGCAGTAATCTGACCCCAACTGAACGCAGAGAGGTGAAGAAGCTACTGCGAGCGAAGAACGTATGGAGGTACACCGTAGGAGACAAGTGCGGCTTTTTAGTGGTGACGCCACAGACGATGGATAGGGCTCTGACCAACAAAGTTCTCTCAAA